AAACCTTTCCAACAATTATAGAATTAAAGCACAAATATGCAATTTATACACCACAAATGCAACAATTAAGCTCTAGATACTATATGAATATGGTGTAAAATCACACATGAACAAACCCCCAAACTTAAACCATTGATAGTCCCGATCAATGCATCAAACTCATACCTACACACAAGTAAAAGCAATCACACTCTCAAAGTCAATCATACACATCATCAACAGGCATCGGGCAAGTAACATACTAAATTCCGGAATTTTTAAACAAAAAATCATGGTCAATGTCTTCAATCCACAAACCTCACCGGATAAGTGTATACTCTCTCTCTCAAAAGTATATAGGAAAAATAATCGCTCAAATCAATTCAATGCCAAAGAATTACCATAAGCTTGCAAATCGTCTACTATCTCCACCACCTATCGTGCATGCACTTCATGAATCGAAAAGGACTTTTATTTGGTTGTAATGTAGGCTCTTTGGTTAGGGTAGGAAATATATGGATAAAGTGACGAAACTCGAGCATCTAGAACTACGAAACATGAACTACACCATCTCATCACCCTCCAATTATAATCAAACCACTCAAAATCAGTCCATACCCCTTTCGATCAACTCTCAAGCCATAATAAAAATAGAAATCAAACCAAACTAAAAACCGCCTTTATTCAAATCAAGGCTAACTATATACACGAATTCATCAAACTCTTTTTGTTTTTTGTTTTTTTTTTTTTTTAAAAAAAAAAACAAATATCCATAAGCTCATCAACCTTAAACTTACATCATCAAACTTCCCTATTCATCCCTTTATCCACACCACAACAAAACACTCATCCGTTTTTCACATAATGTAATCCTAATACTCAAGTAAGGACAAGGATAAAATATAGATATAGCTTAATATGTGGCTTCCAAGAAAATAGGCAAAAGCTCAAAAGGGTTAACTAGGGAATATAACTATCATTTGGTAAGCTAAAAGGTCAAAAAGGCTCAAACAAAAATATGCCTTAGATCATTTTCACAAAAATGCACACACCATGTGGTCTCGACATAGATACCAATGCAAGTTCTAGAATTCCATCAACAATGAACGATACACTCAATCAACAAAATATACGGCTCAAAAGCTCACAAGGATCATGTATTCATGGATCAAAAACATCAACCAATCATTCAAATTCACAACTCAATTCATCATCAAATTCCATCACCTAGCACATTATGCCTGAATTCCATATCAAACATGCATAAGAAACTCATCAAGGTGAATCCAAGTCGACCACAACAAACTACTCAAATCCTAAGAAAGCAATAAACGTGCTAAAGCAATAAACCTAACATGCAACTACATGAAATGCAAGATAACGTAAGATATCTTGTTATCTTCTCTCTAAACTTCTCAAATCAAAATATCACATCTCCCCCCAAACTTGAATGAAATTATATGAAGCACATAAGGGAAGAATAGAATTTCAAGAAAAGTAAAATAGAGAAGACTCACAAAACATCATTGGAAAGATGACAATTCTTGGTATAGATCTCAAAGCATATTCTTCGTCATGTAAATCTCTCCAAGTAATGTTCTGCAAGGAAGAAAAACAAAATATCAAACAAACAAAAAATAAAACTAACTAAAAACATAAAAAAAATAAAGCAGTAAACATTGGGTTGCCTCCCAACAAGCGCTAAGTTTAACGTCTTCAGCCAGACGAGAATGTCTATTAGGGAACTCGAAATAATGATTTTGATGATCTTCTCATCCTTTTAATTTTGACTTTCTCCCAGTAAGGACTCAATCCAAAAGAGAGCATCATGGTCCCGTCATAATCACCAAGTTTACCATCACAATATCTCTCAAATTTCAGGATGAAGATTTCAACCACTTCATTATATGAAATGACAAATTCAATTTTTAAACATTCAGAATTAAAGAATTCTTCTTGAACCAACCCTTCAGTGATAATAACTTTTGGGGATATTTCAAAAATGACATCCTTCTCTTCTTCATGTTCTTCGGCAACGATAGAAATTTCTGGCATACTATCTAACGACAAAAAGCATGGAGGAATGTAATCGAGCTCTTCTTTCGATATAGGAGGTAAACCAGAGAAAGGACAATTTCCCGGTGTATGTGGCAACATCAAACCACATTCATCACACCCAATGCCACTTTCCTCGAGTTCTCTCCTACGACGCTTCGACTCTAACTCAACCTGTTTAAGTTCTTCCAACTGATAGAACAAACACTCCTCAAACCACTTTTTATCTTCTTCCGAGTATTTGGGATCATTGCGCCAGTCATAGTCTATCGCATCCGCATCCATCATAAAAAAAATATATTAGCAAGAAACACAAAAAATATCTAAATTAAAACCAACACTATCTATCATAATATTGATATAAATAATTATATTGGTCCCCGGCAACGGCGCCAAAAACTTGTTCGCCTATATTTTTAAAGCTCTACCCCAAGTGTACGGCTTCGCTCGTAGTATGTGGCAAGCAAGGTCGTATCCCAAGAGACCAAATAATTATTTAATCAAGTACAAGATTATGATAGTGTCAATTTTATTTAGACGATCGAATATAGGATGGATTAACTACACTAAGAAAATAAATCAAAGCAGATAAAACAAAAATAAGGAACTAGCTAGAAAACAGGTAGGAAAATATATGGGAATGAAGATTCTAAGACTATGGGTTCAATTAACAGTTGGGTTCCTTCAAAAATATCACAACTAAATGTTTTCTTTATCTACCCTATAAGATGATCACAAATTTAGCTTATCGTCCCTCTCGAGATCGATAAAACCGTAGATTAAATCACATATATTAGCGTCTCCACTCAACACATGCAATTCAACTCCAAATAGATTAAAAGACTCAACATCCTCACAACTATCTACTAATCTCTCGATTCAAGCAAATAAATTGTGTCAAATATTAAAGATCTAATATTGAACTCATCTCTCGAATTATGAACAATATCATCAAACATGTAAAAGCAGTGGCCAGTTGCAATTCATGAAATAAGCACGAAATATTTGAATAGGGTTCAAAAGAAAACGATCAATTATAATAAATCATCAGAAATCCCAAACTATTAATCTACTACCATGTCTTAGAATCAAAGAAGATTAGCTATTCATGTTTGAAATCAAATACATAGACATATTCAAAATCAACATGAGAAAATAAGTTCAAAAGAGAGAAAGAAAAACTAGTAAGCTTGTCGTCGATCTTCTCTTCTTCCCAATTGCTTCTCTTGCGTGTTCTCTGGCTCTCTTCCTTGTGTAATCACGTTCTCGGGCTCAAGATCAGGTAAATATGTCTTTTTATATGTCCGAAAGTCCTTTCCTAAGCGAAAAAGGCAAAGGATTAAAAACTGCCCGCGTCGCGACACGACCTGACACGCCCGTGTCACAGGTCGTGTCACGGGTCGTGTCAGGTATAGATCCTTCATTGCTGTCTGTTGAGGTGACACGGGCAGGTACCAAGTCCTCCATTTTTGGCTCGTTTCTCTCGTTTCTTCCATTCTTTTCATCCGTGCATCGATCTATCATCATCCCGGGAGTTTTAGGCACTCATCATGCTCCTCCAATAGCCAAAGCCCTACAATTATGTGGAAATATCTACAAAACGAGCACGTGTAATACCTTTCCAACAATTATAAAATTAAAGCACAAATATGCAATTTATACACCACAAATGCAACAATTAAGCTCTAGATACTATATGAATATGGTGTAAAATCACACATGAACACTTGCTTCTCCGCTTGCTTTCCGGTTGTGATGTATGAGATACCACCAGATCAACGTCGGTTGAGCTAGGGTCCCCACAGACGGCGCCAATTTGATATGGTCCGAGATCGGTGGATCCGGTCTTACGGAGGGTTCTTCCCGGTTATGGCGTTGGCTCACTTGATTTGGTCCAGTCCGAGCTTGAGTGTTCTCCGGTACCTGAAAGCGCACCGGAATTTCTCCGGCGCAAGCCCTCCGACGCCCACGTTAGGATCTCGGATTTAGAGAGAGAATTGTGTGTAATAAATGTTGTGGTAAAACATTAATGAAGACTTACCTTTCAGTTGTGGAATTTATCCCTTATATAGCAACTAGATTTACGGTCTTCTTATCGGGACCGTAAATCTCCGAGTGACTCGACCCCTATAGGCCGGTCGACTCTCGGTCGAGGGTCGAGCTCTCTTGGCCGAGCCCTTCCGGCCGTGTGTGTTAGGGTCGAGGGTCGAGCTCTTTTGGTCGGGCCCTTCCGGCCGTGGGTGTTAGGGTCGAGGGTCGAGCTCTCTTGGTCGGGCCCTTCCGGCCGTGGGTGTTAGGGTCGAGGGTCGAGCTCTCTTGGTTGAGCCCTTCCGGTCGTGGGTGTTAGGGTCGAGGGTCGAGCCCCTTTCGGTCTCACCTTCTTGGTCGAGGCCTTCCGGTCGAGAGTCGGCCGAGACGCGTTAGGTTGAGTCGCGTTAGGCCGAATCGGCACTAATATCCCTATCAAAGGGGTATGAGATATGAATTATTTTTATGGAGATTGTCAGTAGAATTTACCTATAAAAGGTACCTCAAATGTATTCAAAGAACACACATTGAAAAGACGTATCCCATTCTATTCTGCAAGATTTGAAAATGACCGTCAATACCTCGGCGTAGGTCCTGGCTAATCCTTTGCTCCATAGCCCCGAAAGAAGAGAGAAATAATTGAGTATAATTTCTATCTCATTTCTATTTTGTGTTCTTTAACTTTTTTATAACACTAAACATTTATTTCCTTGTCTTTTTTTTGCGGTTTTACGAAGGAATAGCCTAGAAAAATCAACTCTTTGAAGTGGGAATCATCTAGAACCCATCCTTACCGTCTTTTAAGCCCTAGTTCTCTACTTACCAGTTTCCATCTACCCTCGGCACTTCTCATCTCTTCGCCTACCCTTATCTTATCCTCTGCCTCTGCAAAGAAACCCACCAAAAACCCATACTCCATTTTCAACCTTCACGCGAGAATGGCCTCAGCCAATGCTATCTCCACAACCTCCATCCTCTCTGCATCTTCGAAACAAGTACATAAGCTTCTTCTCCTTGGTTTTAGGGTTTACGCTGGTTCTTGTTTAGTTTGTGGTAATCTATTCCTCTGGTTTTTTTTTGTCGTTTCAGTTGGGGCTGAAGAATAGGAGAGTGAGCCAATTCCAGAAGTGTGGCCAGAAACAGGGCAAGAACCGGGTTGTGGTGAGGGCCAATGCTAAGGATATCGCTTTTGACCAGAAATCAAGGTCTGCTATGCAGACAGGCATTGACAAGCTTGCCGATGCTGTAGGCCTTACTCTCGGTCCCAGAGGCAAGTTTCTTAAGACATTGGACAATTTTCTTATCTTACCTATCAAATTTATTTGCGATTTTAGCTCAACTGTCTGGAATTAGTTGATAATCATGAGAATGGATGAGAAGTGTTATCCTAATGATTGTATTGTTGGTTGAATGCTTCTCTTGTTTGAAGCGACATTGTTGCGGGTGCTGAAAGTCTGTTTTTTTTGGTAATAATAATGTAGGAAGGAATGTAGTGTTGGATGAGTTTGGTTCCCCGAAGGTGGTGAACGACGGTGTGACTATTGCAAGGGCCATTGAGTTGCCTGATGCCATGGAAAATGCTGGTGCTGCATTGATTAGAGAGGTTGGTTCCTTTTTGATATGCTATGTTTTCCTAACCATTTATTTGTTTTCCCTTCATTTTTGCAGTATTTTGTGTAATACCACTGAGGTTTTGTGTGCATAGGTTGCGAGCAAGACTAACGATTCTGCTGGTGATGGGACCACTACGGCTTCAGTGCTTGCTCGTGAAATTATAAAGCTTGGTCTTTTAAGTGTGACCTCGGGTGCCAACCCTGTTGCAGTGAAGAAGGGCATTGAAAAAACCGTGCAGGGTTTGGTTAGAGAGCTTGAAAAGAAAGCTAGGCCGATCAAGGGCCGCGAGGACATCAAAGGTATTGTGTTTTTTAAGGGTCCAAGTTCTAAAATTTATCCATTGCCATAACTGGATAGAACAGTGAGGAATGATTCTTTCATTTGCTTTTTACTGAAGATCTTTGACAAATTTTCAGCTATTGCATCAATTTCTGCGGGCAATGACGAGAGCATTGGGACAATGATTGCTGATGCAGTTGACAAAGTGGGGCCGGATGGTGTATTATCCATTGAGTCATCATCTTCCTTTGAGACAACTATTGATGTAGAAGAAGGAATGGAGGTTTGCATATAGTTTGGAGATTATATTTCATTTCATTTTTTTCCCACCTAGAGAGCGGAGTATGTGAGCTTTTGTAGAGCTCTCTGAAAGTATTTGGTTTTCGTTTTTATTGGTGGATAGATTTTGCAAATTTGTAAAATGAGATTTTATGGGCTCACAAGGTGAATTTTGAGGGAATTGGTATTTTCCATAATTCTCAATTCTAATCACGGAATTGGTATAACCCACACTTGTAAGACTCTAGTTACTCAAAAGTCTGTTTTTTAAATAGGCCCAACCGAGATCATAAGTTCTAAAAGCAAGTTATGCAATGTGGGAATACTTCTTATAAGTTTTTTTTTAAGGTCATTCGAATATTCTCTTGGCCGCATCATATGGGTTGTATGTTAAAGGTTGCCTAATTTTTGTCGTTATTCACTCACAGATCGACCGAGGATACATCTCCCCACAATTTGTAACCAACCCTGAGAAGTTGATTGTTGAGTTCGAGAATGCAAAAGTATTAGTGACTGACCAGAAGATTTCTGCTATCAAAGACATTATTCCCCTGTTAGAGAAAACCACTCAGTTGAGGGCACCTTTACTTATCATTGCAGAAGATGTCACAGGAGAGGCATTGGCTACTCTTGTCGTGAACAAGCTCAGAGGTATCTTGAATGTGGCTGCAATCAAAGCACCTGGTTTTGGAGAACGAAGGAAAGCTCTTCTTCAAGATATCGCCATTGTGACAGGTGAGACTGGCTTTTTTTTTTCTAGCAGCATTTGTGTGATGTTTTGTGTCTACTTCTAGTGTATGGAAAGTTTTGGTGTGTTTAAACATTTTAACAACGTATCGATAGGAAATTTTCAACTGCATTCAAAAAATGCTGAGGGTAGATTAAAAAACTACCTTGAGCGCACCTGATTGACGAAAATTTCTCTTGAAATTTGAAAAAAAAAAAGAAAAAAAAAGGGTTCACTAGAGGTTTGTTTTGTGTTGTAGATGTTTGTTATTCCCCTGGTCAGGCTCTATTAGAGCAACATATGGTAAGGAGGATCCTTGCGTATTAAATGTAGCTTTTATTTATAATAATAATAACAATTATTATTATTTGTGGATCTGGATTTCAATTATAGCTTCTGCAGTGTAGCCTTTTTCTTCTAGTTTGTATATACTATAAGAGAGAAGAAAACAGAAGTTGTTTAAGATAATCTAGCTTGATACGTTGTATTATTATACCATGTTTTACACTTTTACCTCTCAGGAGCCGAGTATCAAGCCTCTGATTTGGGCCTGCTTGTGGAGAACACTGACGTTGACCAGTTGGGAACTGCAAGAAAAATAACAATAAGCAAGGATTCGACTACCATCATAGCTGATGCTGCATCAAAGGACGAGCTACAAGCTAGGGTTGCTCAGCTGAAAAAGGAATTAGCTGAGACCGACTCCATTTACGACTCTGAGAAACTTGCAGAAAGAATTGCAAAATTGTCTGGTGGTGTTGCTGTTATCAAAGTTGGTGCTGCAACGGAGACGGAGCTTGAGGACCGTAAGCTTCGCATTGAGGATGCCAAGAATGCGACTTTTGCTGCAATTGAGGAAGGTATCGTGCCAGGTGGTGGGGCCGCGTTTGTTCACCTCTCTGCTCATGTGCCCGCCATTAAGGACACACTTGAAGATGCAGAGGAGCAACTGGGTGCTGATATTATCCAAAAGGTAACAATGGTTTTTTCTTCTTTTCTTTTGTTTTGCTTTTATCTATAGCAATAAGTTACTGTAATTGATCGACATTTAGACGTTTATTTAAGCAGTGCATACATATTGTTTTTTGACATATGACATTTAAATATAAAAGTATGTAGCGCAATTATCAGCCCCACTACCATTGCAATACTGATGATACCTGTAGTCACTACTATTGGTCAAACTTTAGGCCAATGCAAAGCTCAATACAAATAATCTAGGTGCCGACTTATATTTCAATTTGACTTCTGAGTAAAAGTTGATTTGTAAAGCAAATACAAATTTTGAAAGGTATGTGTAATTAGGTTGAACTTATCTACTCTGATTGCGATTATCATGTGTTATGTATACTTGTTATAATCATTAATAAGAGTAATGTGGTGGGACAGGCACTTGTAGGACCAGCAGCTCTCATAGCCCAAAATGCTGGAGTTGAGGGGGAAGTTGTCGTGGAGAAAGTGAAGGCCAGCGAGTGGGAATTCGGGTACAATGCAATGACGGACTCGTACGAGAATCTAGTTGAGGCTGGGGTGATCGACCCAGCTAAGGTCACAAGGTGTGCCCTGCAAAATGCAGCTTCTGTTGCTGGTATGGTTCTCACTACACAGGCCATAGTTGTTGAGAAGCCCAAACCCAAGACGCCTGTGGCTGCTGGGGCCGGGGCCCCGCCTGGCATGGGCAGTTATTCTGTGTGATCAACAGAATGGTGTACTCTAAGATTTTCTTATGGGATTAGGCGGTGACGGAGATGATGGAGTGTTAGGATTGGATTTTTAGTGACGGTTTAGTTTGTGTGCGTGTGCTCTAATTGAGGGTTGGTGTGAGGCAAAGGCCAGAAATTTTTTTGGCTACCTGTTGTTGGATACTCTACACATTTTGTTTGAATTTGTTAAATGTTAGTGGTGCCCCCTTTGTGAGGATGATGGAAAATGAACCGCTCATGAAATAAACAAGTCATATGGTGGAAGAAATTGAATTTTTGCAGTGCAAATACGAGGCTAAAATTGCAGTATTGTTTTTTTTTTTTTTATTATATATTTAGGGCGAGGAAAATATAGAAAGGAATAACGGAAATTATGTGCGTGACTGGACCCAACAGTTTTGGATCACATCAGAAGGTTTAATGCTTTGATGTCTTCTTCACGGTGTTACGGAGTAGTTTGTTGTTCTAACATTAAATGAATAATCGATCATGATTCCAGGTGTGTGTTTGTCTGTTTTGTTGCAAGTATGGTTCACTGGGGTTGTGTTTTTTTACAAAAAGTTAACCCAGGTGCTCTTCTGTTTTGTTGCAAGTATGGTTCATTGGGGTCGAATCACGGACAAAAAAGTAGACATAACTGTAGTGCCCCATTCGTTTATTAAGAGTTAGCTTGTTTTATTTCAGTTTTGTATGTCATTGCATTTCATTCCTTTTAAGCTCGACAAAGTTTATTAAAGTTCTTTTGAGATTAATTAGAGGTCCTCGTCTATTTAATCATTTAAGTTTACTAAAATTATTCAATGTTTCAACATTTTGTTTGCTAAGCAAAATTCGTTTGAGTTTTCATGTTCAAGTCAAACCAGTTTTGTGAGCCTTTTTGAATCGTCTTTCACAAAGCATTTGTCTCGAAAAAAAAAAACTGACATTTAAACTCTAGTCACAAATTTGACTCACACTCAGAAGGTTACCTTTTAATTTATGCACGAGCAGGACATCATTCTGTTGGATTCGCCTGTACCGTACGAGCTATATGCAGCGGAATTTAAAAAATTTTAAAACATGTATTTGACAATTAAATACATATCTCGTACATACATATGGCGAATTAACAGATCGTCATCTTTAAAAACGTGTAATAATACAAATTTTGATTTGTTTGATAGTAAATACAATATTTACCGTTAATCTTGAACTCCTTCAAAATCGTAGATGGATTGAGGAAATCGGTTTCCGGATTGGTAACTTCACTTCACTTCTTGTGCTTGTGGTTACTCGCTTTAGGAATCCACGTGTCTTCCCTCTAAACGTATCCACCTTTCGAAATCGGGTTCCGACGATAGCTTCTTCGCTAGTAGAAACTTCTCGGTTTTTCAATAGTATAGAATATATATATTTTATAAGGAAATATTTCAAGAACTTTTCTTGATATTACACTCAACTCTTTGAATGTGTTTCTCTCTTGGAAGATCTTTGGAAAAATGACTTAGCAAATTTTATGTAAACTCTTTACACATATTTATACTAAACTTTTTAGTATAAAATAGTCAATATTTAGTAATATTTAAATAAAATCAGATTTTATTTAAATATAATTTACTAACTATTGACTTTTATATAATAAACAATGTGGAGTGGTTCTCAACCTCTCTTAACCACCATTTATTATAATCCTTAATTATTTTAATCTTTAATTATATTAAAGATTAAATAATAACATTAAAATAATAATTCTTGAAAACATTTTTCAAGACTTTATTATTTTAATCATTTCTTCCAATTTCCTTATTTAATAATCATAATTATTATTTGGATTTGAAATTTAAAATCCAATTTTAAATTTCAACTATTAAATAGTAATTCCATTAATTACTAAATTAATATCCAAAATTCAATTAATCAATCCAATTGATTAATTTAATATATTCCATAAATTGATATCTAATCAAATTAGATTAATCAATTAATTCTACCTCTTTAGAATTACTATTTGAATTTTACCTTCATTCAAAAATTGGTGTGACCTTTTAGGTTCACAATTAATACTAGTAGTGGGTTTACAACTCTTTGTAATTTGAGTTAA